CACTTACTGCACAACACAGAACTGATGGCCTCCCTGGCAGAAAGCAACTTCGACGTGGTGTTGACAGACCCCTTCCTTCCTTGTGGCTCTATTGTGGCCCAGTACCTGGCTCTGCCTTCTGTCTTCTTCTTGAATGCACTGCCGTGCAGTCTGCACTTCCAGGGTACCCAGTGCCCCAACCCACCATCCTATGTGCCCAGGGGTCTATCATTAAACTCAGATCGCATGACCTTCCTGCAGCGGGTGAAGAATGTGCTCGTCGCCTTGTCAGAGAACTTTCTGTGCAGTGTGGTTTATTCCCCGTATGCACCACTTGCCTCAGAAGTCCTTCAGAAAGATGTGACTCTCCAGGACCTTATAAGCTCTGCAGCTGTCTGGCTTCTCAGAAGTGACTTTGTGAAGGATTACCCCAGGCCCATCATGCCCAATATGGTTTTTATTGGTGGGATCAACTGCAATAGCAAAAAACCATTATCCCAGGTGTGTAATTTGAAGGGGAGCTTTACAAGCCTAGATTCTAGCAAGTACTTTGGAGGGATGAATCTGCCACAGATGTATGCTGCATGAGCACACAGGTGCAAGTGTCCTCTTTTGTTCATTTCTATCTTGCAAGTCTCCTAGGTCAAGCTGTCATTTATGTCTGTCTTTGGAATCGTTCTCTGGGTTGTTTCTCTGGATCTGAGACTTTAGGAAAGTAAACATTGGGCATTTGATTCTGTGGGCTCCAGGGGACAGTCATCGTTTAGGGGCAACTAAGGTTAAATGCCATCCATACTCACAGAGCACTGGGTTCAGGGTTCCTTGCAGAGAACAAACGTGTGCAGGATGTACGCTGCCTTTGATTGGGTCAGACACAGAAGAGTCAGGATTGCTGGAATAGTTTTTGATGTCTATAGATCTCAGCAAGGAAGCTGACTTGATGTTCCCAGTTAAAGCTTCCTAAGCTGGATCCTGCAGTCCCTTCTCTAATAAGTAGGCTTCAGCCTTAGTTGGAAAGGGCAAATTCATTCTCTAAGCCAGAGGGCAGCTGACTTACATAGAGAGAAATCTCTATCCCTGGTCCCTGATTAGTCCATCCTCATGCGAATGAGGGCTCTAAATCTTTGCAATTTGAAGCACTGTCCTGATTGGTCAGAATGGAGCCTCTCTGATTGGTAGGTGAACAAGCTGATCGGGATATAGCTGTGCAGCTCCAATTAAATGGGGAAAGTCTCAGTCTTCTTGGTTGATATAGGACTCCAGGAGCTCCTTTATAAGGTCTGGCTTGGATGGCAGGAACACAGTGCAGGCAGGCAGTTCAGTGTGGGAGGCAGGCAGGGCAGGCTTCCTCCTGAAGCGTCCTTTGCATGAGAAGCCCCTGTTGAGAAACGGCTGTTAGGCTATAAACTTGAGCCCAGTTAGCCATGAGGAGCCGTTCGTGGTCGGTATCTTCTTTCTCAGGATCAACATACTCTACACTTCCATTCCTCTAGGAGAGATTGTTTTATTCCCAACAGTCTTGGTAAAAGTCCTGAACTTCAAAAATAAAGACAAAATTTTTATTCAATAAAGAGAGTCCACAGAGAGAGCACAGCCTGGCATTGGACATACCTTTGGGATGCCCAAAAGACAAATGGCAGTAGAACAACATTTGGAGCAAAGCAATGGAACTCAAGAATTCCAAGACGTCGTTCCTTTCTCAGGATGAGAGACCATCTTCGTGGACATGTAGAGATTCAGAGATAATATCCATACATACATGTTGTGCCTGGGAAAAATAGCCAAACAGAGTCTTGAAGATGGCAAGGAGAAGAAAGACTGATGACCAGGGAAGCTTCCAGTATTTGCAGGTGACTCTGAATGCATAATAAGAAAGTGACATGTTTCCAAGAGGCTGTCCAAATGCTTAAAAAGGATTCTTGCAAAACAAAAGACATTTGGGAAGGGAAAATCTAAGAAAAGCCTGGAACTAAAAATTCTGAGCTGTCAGTAGAAGTTAGGAAGTTTTAAAGGCCTCATTAGAGTGGGCAGGTGCTTCCACTTAAGTGGTCTCATCTTTTTGGAAGGTGATAAGAGGTGGGGAAATTAAGCGTTGTTTTCAGTTAACATGTTGCTTCACTCTTTGGCCATTCCAGAGTCTGTGAAGTTGCAGCGAAGTTTAGGGGAAGTTTGCCAAACAGGGGTGGATCTCACCATTATTGAACCCCATAAGAGCTGGTCCAGAAGAGGCGTTGGCCGTGATAACACAATCTGCACAGTTTGTGATCTGTAGATGAACTTCTGTGCCATTTAAACTTTAGTCAAGTGCTGTTATTTAACTTTGGGTGTTTGTGGCCCAGTGGTTCCCACTGGTGCAATCACGCCCTGCTGGTTGCCAAGTGGGTGTGGGGGAGTGTGCATGGGAGGAGACATTAGTTTCAGTCCTTTCTACACAAGGTGAAACATAGGCATGGGTTTCATGAAGGGGTGAAGAGTCTGGGAAGTTAGGCAAGTCATTTGCCTTTGTGCAGGGAAAAGAACTTACGGGGTACTTGGAGCTGAGCTGTCTCTCCCCAGGGATGAGGGATGGGGTGCAGATCCTAAGGAGGAAGCACCTCAGAAAAAGCATCCTCAAGGTGTTCTTGCCACAAACCCCAAATACAGCCTGGTGGTGGGGAGGACGGCGATTCACGCTGAGAACCGAGCTTGGCAGAAGGCTCTGGAAACTGCGCCTGCTGCGCCCTGTCAGAGGCCTCCTACATCTTACATTCAGGGTGACCACTGTCCTGGTTTGTCCAGGACTGTCCAGGTTTTAACATTGGAAGTCCCACGCCCCAAGAAACCCCCAGTTCCGGGCACAATCTCACTAATGCCGCTGGCATTCTTTGGAAACATTTAAAACCATTTGGAGACTCTCAGGGAGTTGATTAGATAATCAGTAACCTACAGCTGGGGGGAAATCGCCCTACTTACGCCTTGCCCTATTTCGTCTAAGTGAATTAGCACTGTGTGTGCACGTGTGCCTTTGCATGTGTGTGCAGGCAGGTGCGTGCGTGCCCTGTGCATGTTTCCTGAAAACCGGGTTACCCTGGAGTTGGCTTTGAAGGTTGGGCACAGATCAGGCTGAGCTAAGATTACTGCCAAGGGTTGAACTTGGGGGCTTTCCTCACTCTCCTCCTGGGGACACGGCCGGCCACGCTCTTATCTGCAGGTTCCTCTTTCAACACTGTAGTAGTTAATGCTACCATTCTTCTGGTGACTACATCTTTTCAGAGCTTTTGTTTGACACCATCTCTAAAGTCTATTCCCTATCATTTCAGGGATAGGTCTTTGGTAGGTCATGGTCTGGAATCTGGTTGGGAACCACTGCCATCAACTGTTTCTCACCCCGTAACACACAGTATCTGAAATCCCATCCTGCTTCATCCAAGGGAACCCCAGACTGCTCTGTATAACATTCGTTAGTAGTGGTAAGATTTGTAATGAACTAGAAACTCAGTCACTGCTTACAGTTCACATATACCAAAACTCACTCGGCTGAAAAAAAAATTACTCCTTGATAAAAATGATGTCTTAATGGCAATAGGACACCATTAGCAATAGGAAGGACTTTGAATCAGTTCGGTTTTCTAATGATGCTATCTTGCATTCAGCAGAGAAACAAGCTGGTGTGATGTGTACTGGGTTTGTCGCACAGCCCCACTCTTTGTTCTTTCGTTACTACTGATTTTTTGGGTCATCTGGTCCAGAAATTTCTTTAGAAGCAAGTCCTGTTGTTGTCTTGAGCTTCGTCCTTCAGGAGCCAAGGCTGTAATGCCCATAGATGGTGTTTGTTGGAGACAGTAGGGTGGCCTTCTTGGTGTCACCTTCCTTGGATGACAGTGATGGGCAGGTGGCTGTAAAGGATCAGCCTCTGGAACAGAGCGAGCACTGTGTGAGGGTCGTATGCTGGGTGGGTTGAGACTCGGGGCCTGTTTGTCTTTCCTACCAGTGGCTTTGGTAGCCAGGGTTTACTCACGTCCCCTTGCTGACCATGCAAAAGGCTCAGATCACTGGCGCACACTTGGCCAGGGTCCCCATCCTCCACTTTGCATTTCATACCTAGGGACGAGCATTTTGTTTTTCACAGCACATTACGGAACCAGTAAAGAAAGATTCAAGTATATGTCTGCATATTCTTCTTGCCAAGGCAGGAACGTTGATTTACACACTTTAGAAGGCTCTTCTCCAGGAAAGGTGGAAAAATGCAAGGTTGATTGGTTAAATTCGAGCACTGAGTTGACACAAACGCGATCTTTAGTCACCCAAATGTATTGGCTGCCATGTGAGAGACTGCTGCTGGCTGCATGGAAGTAAGGACTGGTAACGGTTGTCTTCACTATTGGAGTTTTTTCCCTTAATTGTGAGTCTAATCCTTAACATTCAAGCTTGGTGCTTTGACTCGATTCATTCTTTCTACATAAAAAGAACGTTCCAGAAGGCTTGAAAGTGATACAGATCTTTACTGTAGACTTTCTTAAAGAGGCAGTACAGGAGTTTTAGAGTCCATGAGAAAGCTTTCTGAAATTCTCTCTGAATGGCTTTCCCTCGCCCAGTGTTTCTGTTCACAGCTGGAAAGGCTCTCTCCTCTCACATGATGCCAGCTCACCTCCTGCCTTCTGCCCCCTTCCCTAAAGCCTGCTCTCTTCCAAGAGTTTCTCAGCTGCCCAAGCCTTGGGGAAGTGGATCTGGTCTTTGATTATTTTCCCTTTGGAAAATTAGCACACACCACCTGGATCCTGGATCTCAAAGAAGAGCCCAAGAGAAAACTCTGTAAGCAAGAAGCCTTCCTCCTT